TTCTTACTTTTCTTGATATGACAACTATAGAAACGGAACTTTTTGTATTGATCTGACAGAGTAATTACATGTCTGCTGAATCTCATAGTAACAAATTGGGGACTTCCATTTATGTTTTTTTCTTTTTTAATTTTATTTTTAAAGTAATTCAGTTTTTTACCTTATTTTACAGAAGCATTTGTCTATGACAAATCTGGGGAAAACTAGGCCCTCAACATAGAGACTGTGAGAAACACTATTCTAGAGTGTCATAAAATATTTGAGGAGTTACATAGAAACCACCTCTGTAAGCCTAAGACTTCTCACCTAGAAAATGGATTTAACGATAGCACTTACCTCTTGAGGCTGGATTTGAGAATGAAGTGAAAATAGATATATGTAAGGTGCTTAGTATGATGCTTACCCTTGGAAAGTACCCCCCACAACACTGGCTCTTAGAATTATTGAGTAAGTAAGACCTGGGAAGTGCCCTTCTAAATTATGTGCACATGGGACACAGTTTTAGTTTTGTAATAGGTCATTGGTGAATAACCCCTTCAACATGTAACCTGTCTCTGGAATCTGGTCACTTCACTTGACAGGCTAGGAGTTCATTCATCATTGACTTGCACAAGCAATCAATATGTGATTTTTGGTCTTAGGACTATTTGGTGTAACTGCTCCATCATCGAGCATGATGTGTGATATGCCTTTGGTGTGATATGTCTTTCTCTATGTTTCCTTTGGTTTTCCTCAATTCCTTAAATTGAGTGATTGCTCTGACCCTCAATAACTGCATTATTCTGATCTTTATTGTTTACTAAACATCTGTATTATTTGGGGACTATGATAAAATGGGGCTTCCTTGGTGATTCAGACGGTAAAGAATCTGCCTGCAATGTGGCAGACTGGGGTTCAGTCCCCGCCTGGGTCAGGAAGACCCCCTGAAGAAGAGAATGGCTACCCCCTCCAGTATTCTTGCCTACAGAATTCCATGGACAGAGGAGCCTGGAGGGGTACAGAACATGGTGTCACAAACAGTCATACACACACACACACACACACACACGATAAAATGACTTGGTGGCAAGTATAAAGATGGAAACTTTTGTTTCAAAAGATGCATCACTTTAGATGGCACTTCATAAGGCAAAGACAAAAAAAATATGCTGTCTCTTCTAGTCAAAGAGGCCAGACAATTTTTTTCAAGTGTCTAAATGTCAATACTGAAGGTCACTGCCTCTTTAGCAGGCATTGGTTGTGGCCAAAGAAAGTAGCTGGCTATTTCAAACCATAAATGATTAACTGAGGATATCTCAACCAAAGAGGTTTTCATTTTTGAATTCTAGTACAATATGATGGAGAAAATGAGGTTTTATAGTTGGACTAACTTGGGTCCAAATCATAGTTTTGCAACTTAACTAGACACATTAGGCAAGTCCTTTACTCTCTTTGACCCTCAGTTTCCTAAACTATAAATCAGGGGCTAATGGGACAATGTTTGAGCAGACGAGGTGCTTAAATAATAAGCGCCTTCTTTATTTAGTTAGTAAATTTCAATAATTTTTCTTTAAAGTAATCAGTGAGATGACTTTAACCAGTTTCCATGAATAGAATCAGGTTTTAAAATATAATAAAGATAATATATCAGTGTTTACTTTTAAAAACATGCATTAGATTTGGCAGATTCAGTAAGAGACTGTTTAAAAACATGTCTCTTTCCAAGGTGAAGCTTCTTCAATTCGTTTGCACTCTGCCTAGAACTCCTTGCTCCAGCCAGAATAACTTTCCCATGCGCGTGACTTGGCTCATTCTTATTTTTAGTCCATTGTGTTTTGCACTCTTCTTGAAATGACCTTCTGTCACCTCCCTGGCAAACCCCACACTCCTTTAAAATTGTTCGTTATTCACATGGTCCTGAATTGGCAGAAGGAAATCTGGTCAAGCTATTGACTCAGTACCATCTTCCAGAGAGCTGTATTAGTCCTCATTTTGACATATTTTCTTGTTATGATTTCCTACACTTTTAAAATATTTGTAGATTCTTTCTCCCTATCAGAACTATAAAGTTCCATTTCTTAGGGTTACGCAGAGGACATTCAGGATCAGAGAGGCTGTCACTTGCTCAAGGTCACACAATTTATGGCTGATTTTAAACAGGTAGCCAGCTCTTTGGGTTTTTTATTTGGTTTTGTTTTCATTTCATGACCCTACTTAGTAGAAAATGGTTGGTATTAGCGACAGACTGAGAGACAGTGGGGCAACTCCAGGCATGGAGACTACTCTAGAAGGAGGAAGAGCAGATGCGGGTCACAATGGATTTCAAAGGATGGGGCAAAAGAGGGAGAAAACGTGTCTCAAATAATTGGCTTACTCCAACTAGCTCACGTTCAAAGAAAATAAGAAACACCTACATGGCAACCATCACGTTTCTGCTTTGCTTCTATTTTGTGCTTAATAAACAACACTACTGTCATTGCCAACGAAAACAGTAACATCACTGTGCTTTTTCCCCTGGCGCTAACTCTAAACAATCTACTGGATTTGGGTCAAAATTGTAAACTGCCAGCACGTTAAAAATAAAAACAGAAAAACAAACCTGGCCTTTTCCTTTAGGGTTGTGAGGGTGCGTGCAGGACAAGAGCCAGAGAGAAGAGTTACTATAAAAAATAATCCAGTGCAAACATCCTTGAACTGATGTTTTCTATAAAAATCTGTTGGCTGTGAATTGAAGAGTGAAGTGGGGAAGGAGAAAGGAATGGGGGATCAAGTGGTGTCTGCTTATCGTCAGCTAGCTTTCATGTAAGAGTCATGGCAGGGTCAGCAACAAACTAGCCAGGTGGCAACTCCAGGCCATGCTGCCATAAATAAATAGTTATGTACTAATGTCACACAACCGGAGCTAGATGCAAAGCATATGGGAAGGAAACATTCTGATGTAAATATTCAAAAGAATCTATGGTTGCTGAATTCAGGATCCACTGTTGATATGGGACTTTGAGACGCCTGGCGAAATAAAGTGATGAAGCTTTTCTGAAACTTGGACTAAAAGATTCTTTGAAATATTCATTGTCTCCTTTCAAAACCCCCCCCCCCCAAACCCTTAACCTTTGACCTAAGAGAGTGTGACTTTTTTTTTTCTTTCTTTCTTTGGTGTAGTAATTAAGCATTACTGAGAGTTGGCATGAGCACAGATCCTGGAACCAAATTTCAGGAGTTTAAATTACCCCTGCTGCTTGCTCATTCTCATGACCTCTGGGAGGTTACTTACCCTTTTCATGCCTCAGTTTATTCACCCTGCACAAAAGGGAGGAGGAGGAGGAGAGGTGGAGGAGGAGGAGAATGGCAATAGTATCTGCCTCCTAGGAAATTATAGGGATCAAATGAGTCAAAGTGTGGGGAGCAAACAACACCTGGTAAGTGCCCTGACCTATTACCATCAAGTAGTCTTATACAATGAGTAGACTCATTGGAAAAGACCCTGATGCTGGGAAAGATTGAAGGCAGGAGAAGGGGACGACAGAGGACAAGATGGTTGGATGGCATCACTGACTCAATGGATATGAGTTTGAGCAGGCTCAGGGAGATGGTGAAGGACAGGGAAGCCTGGCATGCTGCAGTCCATTGGGTCACAAAGAGTTGGACATGACTAAGCTGCTGAACAACTGTCTTATACAGGCTATTTATCTTCCATAGACTATCTGCTGGAAGCTAAGGAATCCAGTCATTGTACTATCTTATTTAATCCTACAAATAACCCCATGAATTAAAAAAAACCCTTTGTTTTACAGACAAAGGAATTGAGGCTTAGACAGTGTAAAGAATTTATCTAAGGAGGCATATCTAAGCTAAACTTTTAACCCAGGTCTTATTCCAGATTTTAAAATGAACAACAAAATAACCATTTACACATTCTGTAATATCTAAACACTTTTTCATAAAAATGTTAAAATTTGAAAACAAACATAGCACATGGCCTTCTAAGAACCAAGTAGATTTATTTATTTTAAATGGATTAAAGGAGGGGCTAATGTCCTAATCAATGGCCTCGGGCAAGCTGAGATCCACCCACAACACATATACAAAACAGATAAATTCTTCACTGACTTATTTCTCCAAATATTTACTGAACACCTACTATTTGGGGGAGGGGTGGGGGGGCCGTTGCTTCCTTGGTGGCTCAGCTGATAAAGAATCTGCCTGCAATGCGAGAGACCTGGGTTGGGAAGATCCCCTGGAGGAGTATTCTTGCCTGGAGAATCCCATGGACAGAGGAGCCTGGTGGGCTACAGTCCGTAGGGTCCCAAAGAGTTGGACACAACTGAGCGACTACACTTGAACTGGGAATTGGCAAATGAATAAGAAATGATTTCATTTCTTGGGCCCCTAATTGTGAGGAGTGAATGTCATATTCACTACAGTTTGAATACTGCAGTCATATTCTTTACTGTTTGGTGATGTGGCTTTTGTTTTCTAGTCTCTTTTCCAGCAGGGCCAAAATTGTGTTCCTCGCGAGCTGCACAAGTTTTGTTTTTTTTTTTAACTTCTCTCGACACAAGCCAAGCTCTTAACTCTATGACGATCTTAGTGGGTTTGCGGTTTTACAGCTCCTCCTCTCAGGCTTCCAGGGCGCAAAGAGTCTTTCGCTGAGAGAAGGCGTGTTTCTTTGCAGGCCTATCTCCGATTGGAGCTGGGGTTAAACGTGCGCGTTTGGAAGCGCTGGAAGCGTGTTCAAATCGCGCGCCCTTGCAGTCGCTTTCCCGGACTCATGTGAGCCCTGCTGCCTGATCGATGCGCCAGGACTCCCTGGCTTCTGGCAACAGAGAAGGCATTAAAGCCAAAAGCATCCCACGTTAATCCCAGGTGGGCCATGCCCAGGGACCTCCCCTTAGAGATTTAGGCGCCACCTCTGCCTGCGGCCGTTACTTCCTGGTTGGCATGCCCTTAACTGACATGGCGGCTGGCTGCCTTCGGCTGGGCCCACTGCGGCTGCTCAGAACGCCAAGAAAGGGCAGTCTGTCTACAGCCCGCCTCCCGCCGCGGAGGTGCCTGGTGAAGTCTTGGCTTGTGCACCCAGGGTTGCAGGGGGTTAGGGGCCCAGGAAGTCGGGGACACCGCGCTGTGCTGCCGTGTCCGCACCCTCGTCCGTCAACAGCAAGACTGCTCGAGACCAGGGTGTCCTTTTTCCTTTCCCTTGTCATCTCCCTGTCCCTGGCCCAACATGATACTGACCAAAGCCCAGTACGACGAGATAGCCCAGTGCCTAGTGTCTGTACCGCCTACCAGGCAGAGCCTGAGGAAGCTGAAGCAGAGGTTCCCCAGGTAAGTGGCCACCTCGCCCCTCACAGAGCCCGTTTGCCTGCAGCAGCCGTGCCTGGCAGCCCAGCCGGTGCTTAGGAACACGTGTCACACGAAACTGGGGAGGAACACGAGTGGCAGGTGTTAGATCAGGGATGTTGAAAAAGGTTTCTTCTTTGACCAGCCTTATGGATGGATCCCAGGCAGCCTTCCAAGGCCATGCAATTAAGTTCAAATCAACAAATGTTTGTTGAAAACTTGGGTTTTGCTAGTTGATGGGTGCACATAAGTAGGTGCTGCATAAATTTGTTCTTGTTGTTTAGTTGCTAAGTTGTGTCCTCCTCTTTGCAACCCCATGGACTGTAGCCCGCCAGGCTTCTCTGTCCATGGGATTCTCCAGGCAAGAGGACTCCTTCTCCAGGGGATCTTCCCCTCCCAGGGATTGAACTGCATCTCCTGCATTGGCAGGCGGGTTCTTTACCCTTGAGCCACCAGGGAGGCCTCCTTGCATTAATGTCTGGTGGTTAATTGACAGATTCTAGGAATGAATGACAGGTGGCAGGGCCCTCTCAAAGTGGAAATATGAATTGTAGATTCAAAAGATGAAAATGGAGGACACTTTTAATTGGCCTCTGGAAACAAAGGAGAGTACAGCCTAAAGGGGACTCTTCTGGTTGACTGTGGCTGTCTACTGCAACAAAGTGACCTCAAGTGTTCCAAGCCGGTCAGAGACTGGTACCCTACGGATTCTACTGTTGCGTCAAGCAACCATGTGGATGCACAGATGGGGGATGGCAGAGCACGAGAGCGGGGATAACAGAGGATGAGATGGTTGAATCCCATCACCAGTTCAATGGACATGAGTTTGAGCAAGTTCCAGGAGATGGTAAAGGACAGGGAAGCCTGGCGTGCTGCAGTCCATGGGGTTGCAAAGAGTCGGACTCGACTGAGTGAACAGTAACAACATTGGATACACATTCCAGGTGTATTTCATACTTCCCTTCTCCCTGTGCATGTCTTTTTTCCAATGATTTTTAGGCTTATCCGACTTTCTAAGAAGGGACTTTAGCAACTATATGCCATAGATTTCCTCATTTTAAAGATGTATAAACTGAGGCCCTGACATTGCACAAAGAACCAATCCAGGACCAGAAGGGGTACTTGTCCCATGTTTAAAGTATAGAATGTTTGTTTACCTTTATTCTGTTTTAAAGCCAAATCTGAATTTATTCCATTTTACTCTGTGGCACTGAACACAATGAGCTTCCTTCTCTCTGACATCATCAAGGAAGTGTTTTCTAGCAGAGAGATTATTGGATAATTGGTATTAGTAATGTACAATGTATTTTCCTTGAAGGACTCAGTTTTCCTAACCTGTAAAATGAAGGGATCTCTTTTGAATATTATCCAGATTTAATTTATCCTTTTATAGTCTTAAAGATTTTTATCAGATTTGCTAACAAGGAACAAAATTGACAGAGTTAGAATGGGTGAAGGCTGGTCAGATAGATTTTTCTGGGCAATTTTAAGATACATCATGCACTTAGATGTTTCTGCTCTTGTTATGTCCTTATATTAGCACTGTATTTTTGCTTCTCTCTTTTGTTCTCTTCTCTTCCTCTCTGCCTCATTCTTTTTCTTTCTTTTCCGTAGCAAATACCTTCTCCTCTCCATTAGAGGTAACCTCTTCTTACTTTTATTAAGGTTTTATGTCGTTTTTTAAAAATTGGAATGTAATTGCTTTACAGTGTTGTGTTTTTGCTATATAAAAACATGAACCAGCTCTATGTATACATAATATAGCCTCTCTTCCACCCCTCCCCATCCTACCCCTTTAATTCTTCACTGAGCTCTGGGTTGGGTTCCCTGTGTTATATAGCATCTTCCCAGTAGCTAGCTATTTTACACATGATCGCCTCTATGTCAGTGCTGCTCTCTCAATTCACCCCACCCTCTCATTCCCCTCCCTGTGCCTCCAAGTCTGTTCTCTGTGTCTGCGTCTCTCTTCCTGCCCTGCAAATAGCTTCATCCGTACCATTTTTCTCAATTCTACATGTGTGCATTGATGAAGTCCATTTATGAAAGACTCCCATTCCTTTGGGGCACCACATGTCTTGCCTATTCTCATATGCCTTTTTTTGAGATATGGCATATGATATATGGATTTCCAAATATTTTTGCTTCTTTCAAATACCATTTAGGGTATAACTAACTCTTCTTTTACTGGAAAGTTTATTGAGAGAGCTGTCCTACCAATCTGCAGAAGGAATTGAAGAGCAGCATGGGTAGGAATTCCATAAAGTGTGTAATGTGAGAGTTGGCCTCACAGTTTGCACTGTAGCACCGTTTTACTTTAGGTGTTTGTGCAAAGGACTTGAACAACCTTTAGATTTGACAGTTCATTTTACCTGAGGATTAGTCAAGTAAGGACCTCAGAGATAATTTCTGGTGGTTCAAAGAAGTTAAATGACTTGTCAAAAAGCCTGGAGATATTGGATGGCTCAAAAGTGTCTAGAATACAGGTTTCATGACTTTCAGTTCAGAGTTCTATACTAAGCCACCTTAATTATTTTTAATATTAATAACAGCAGCAATAATTTTTTTGTGTGATGTTCACCTAGATTGAATTCTGAAAATAATCAAAGTGCTGAAATGCTTTTAAAAATTGCTGAAAATTTTTACTTTGCTGATTTTAAAAGTAGTACATGCTCAGTAAAGAGAATAAAAAAATATTCATAATCTTTCAGCTCTGAAAATTTCTGTTAATATATTTTAAAAATATTTCTAGTCTTTTTTTTTCTGCTAATATAGTTTATAGGTCCTGTTTTTCTCATTTAACATATTATAAGCACTTCTCATCTTTAAAAATTCCTTATAATTTATTTCAAATAACTAATAATATCCACATTCTAGATGTACTTGCTGGACATCAAGACTTTTGCTTTTCTAATTTTCTGATACTATTTCTGTATTTATTTTTTTCCCCAATTATTTTTGTTAGTTGGAGGCTAATTCCTTTACAATATTGTAGTGGTTTTTGCCATACATTGACATGAATCAGCCATGGATTTACATGTGTTCCCCATCCTGA